TTTTCAATTCAAACCTCCCAAATATCTTTCTTGGGATCAGACATAGGTTTGGCCACAGTTTAGGTCGAGCTACTGAAGAAATCTGAGCCCCCCTGTTTCATAACGGAGGCTTTAGTGCCAGGATTACATAGTGCTAGATCAAAAACCTGATACAAAGTACTGATTTATTATAAATGAATTCATTACTTTAGGTGAGATCTCCTCAGTTCATCTGCAGCCAGAACAGAACACATATTTGTGAGGTGGAGAACTGCACAGAAATGGGATTAGGTGGTTTTGTCACATGCAGCACAGACCTGTGTCACTGTGCAGGTAACAAACTGCTTTAATATTGGTGACAATGGGACCACATAAGGGGTTTGTACTGACCAGAAAGGGGAACATCATTTTCTGGTCACCAGTGAGGACTGAGAGGGCAAAGAAGGGCTGTTATTTGCAACTATGGAGGCAGAGGAACAGGAGAGGCATTACACTGTGAGAGTAATGAGTGCCTCAGCAGAACTATAAAATCAATCTCAATTCTACAAAGAGGCAAGATACAAATAACTCCCTATCGTGGCAGCTACTCAGTTTTTATAGAAACAAAAATATAGAACAGTAAGGTGTGAATATACAGAATAATTAATCCTGGTACTTTTAGACATGGGGTTCTCTATTGCCTGGACAACTCCCTGCTTTTCATCCTACTTCAAAAGGAACACTTACCTGCAATTCAGATAGGAGACCTTGCCAGCCCTATTCCAAGCCAGGCTTTCTGAAGAAAGTTAAAGCTGTTTTTCTTGGTAATTCTTCTCTTCATGTATCATCCACATTGATTTGGCTTTTTGCAAAATGAAACCAGAGAGCCAACAGAAGCAAGGCAAAGGCAGCCAAATCCAGGTCCCTGCTCAGACTGCTCTGAAACTCCAGTGCCAGAGAAGCAATCACAGTTATCACAAACTGACCCGAGAATATTCAGCCTGATTCCTCTAATTGCTTAGACAATAAAAATCAATGGTTACAACTCTGTAGTATAAAGGAAACCTAATAAGATTGATGTAATAGCTACAAGTGCAGAATTTTAGGATCCAGCAGCAGAACAAAAGCAGAATGAGGCATATTTGATACCACCATGGGTTAATATTTACCTGTGGAAGAAACACCGGTGATCTTTCTAAACATTTTTTTCATGAGATCCAGGCAATGTCATCAGCATCTTCAGGCTGTATCTGCATTTTATGATGAATTATGTGCTCTTTCTCAAACAAAATGTTAACGTTCCAGTGGACCCTACCTGCACAAAAGGGGATTTAACTGCATTTTTTGCTTTCTTAATATAACGGTTCGATTTGCTGTTACAAGAGTGCACTTAGAGAACATTCATAGTGCAACAACCAATAATCAAACCAGCACTGCATTTTTCATTACAAGAAAGCTTTCTCAACTGATCTGAAGAAAACAATGTAGACATAACTTGGTGAGGTTCACAGGTGACAGCAGAACACCCTCGCAGCACCGGCCCACAGTCGTATTTAGCAACAGGACAGGCACCCCTGAGTGACAGCTTTCTCTGGCAGAGAGAGCCAGTCAATATTTACATTCCTCATGAACATACAAAAGAGCATCAGAGTACTTGAGAAATTAGCCCTTGATTGCCACTTGGAAGGCATCATCAGAAAGTCAAATCACTTCAGCACCTCCAGCAACAGAATCGTTTTCGTTCCTGAGGCGAGGAACGAGTCCCAGATGTGTCAAGGTCTTTGCCTGGGAGCTGGAGGTGTCTGAAGGGCACAGTGGGTGCTGGAAAAGCCTGACATGAGGGTTTTATTACTTAAAATGTGAAAACATAAAGGATTCGGTCAACTCTTGCTCTCTTTCTTGCTGAAGTAGCAGACACAAATCTGATAGTCCTGAGCCAGCTCCAGGGAATACCAGGAGGATTCTTCAGTGCAGAACACTCTGCTGGACCATTCAGTGACTGCTGAAGTGGGGGGACACAGATGCAGTGGTTCAATTCTGCTCTCAAGTTCCCAAAATGTCACCACATAGAACAGCCCTAAATCTCGGCTTGGAAGTCACAAAACATCCAGCGCCTTTCCAAGCGAGATCTCAGCTCCTCTCATTTCCTGCATACAATAGCATTATTCAGCCACTGAAGTTTCCACTTAGCTTGCATTTATGCCAAGTACTTTTAATTGCAAAGGAAAAGGATGTTAAGCTCTCCCATTTCTTTCTTTCTAATTCATAAGGGACACAGCAGTGGTTGGTAAAAATTAGAGATTAAGGGTTGTTCTCTGCCCATCTCACTCATTAAGGGACTGACATCCTCCTCCTGCTGTGGGCAAACTGAGGTTACCTCCATCACCAGGGGAGGCCAACTCACACTGTCACTTGTAAAATACTAAAAAGGCAAGTCATTGTAAAGTAACTACAAACCAGGCATCAGGGAAGTCTGAATGGCATCTAAACCCTGCAAGGTTTACAACTGATGTGTCACCTTGACCAACACAGGTCCCATTCCATGATGGATTTGCAAGTACTCACCCAGTACCATAACTCAAACAGCACCCAGCTCAAAGAACTCATCGTGGAGAGCAGCAGCTTTGACTGAAGCAAAGTGCTGCAGAGCAAGGAGGGAAATAACTGGAGAAACAGATGCTTAATTTCTACTTATTTTTGGCAGCCTTGTTCCTATGATATCTGTTAGATGAGGGAGAAAAGCTGCTGAATGTTGCTTCGTACGTAATCCATGAACCACAGCCACATCTCTGGACTGTCAGGGTGGCAATACAGTCCTACTGAAGCTTATTTTTCTTTCAATCAATCCGTAGAAGGGTCTGAAGTAACGTTTCCATATGGCTTTTGTTCCCATTATGCAAGATCTGATGAGCTACATTGTCTGAGACAAAGGGATTAAGTGAAATGAAGTGGTGTTTTGGGCTTGGCAGTGTTTTAAGTGTCATCACCCCACCTCTTCAGCCTTGGGACAAGAGACTTATTAGCTAATTACTATGTAAATGAACCAAAATGTAAATTGAATGTTACATTCTAACATAGCTTAATAGCCCCAGGAGCAAGAATTTAGTTAACTTCAATGGACTGTAATTCTATCCAAAAATATAGTTTATTAACAGGCACATACAATAAATCGCACCACTAACTTTAAATAAACCATCTAGCAAGCTCACCTTCACACTGAGTGACATTTGGTTAATACAGAGCAAGAAAGCAGCTCACATATGCTTCCCACAGACACAGAACGAGCTCAGTTGCAAACCAAGTTCGTTATAATCCAAAAAAAAAGGGCACATAAAAGCAAAAGCAATGAAGACTTCACATGAGCGTTGCCATTTCTTTCCACCAGACCTTTGGTCTCTTACAAAATAGGTCTGTAATACAAAAAGTAATAAAAACCTCTGGATTCAATTTACTCAGCCTCTCCCATCACAAGTCAACTATAACATTTTGCAACAACATGAGTAGTATTAAGAGGGAGGTAAGAGGCAAAGTTAGTTATGTCTTGGAATTATCCATGTCCAGCTGCAGCCAGAGGCTGCCCAGGGCAGCCCTGGGCTCCGGTGTCGCTGTCCCAGTTTTTGCAAGAAATGCAAAGATGGTAAAACATTCTTCTCTCTCATCAATTAAAGGTGATCCATCCTCCACTGACATCAAGGCAAAAGTTCTGTTATCAGTGGTATCCTGGTCATCCTCTCTGGGGAAAGGGGTGTCATTCTCGAGTCTCCAGCTCGGCCAGGATGTCAGTAAAACCTGACACGCTGCTGCCACCCGGGTGTTATAGCACAGTCCTGTCCTCCCTCCAGGCCAGAAAAAGGGATTCAGCAGAATTTGATCTGGAAGAATTGAAGCCAACTTGGCAATGAACAGCTCTGCTCTGCTCAGAGCAACATCTCAACCTCACCAAGTAAATAGAAGGGTTGTAATGAACTTCGGTAGAAGCCCAAGAGAAGCATCAGGTCCAAACAGAAAAATACACATTTCTTGGTATTAGACCTTGTTCTTCACACAGGAAAGGACACTTGTATTCCTGATCCTCTGGGGGATCAACAGGCAGGTTCCCAAGAACAGTGCTCCAAACCTAACAGTGTCAGAACCACTCCAGAAGAATTTTTAAAAAAACCCAGAGACTCCTCCACTTCCTTCGTGACAGAACAACAAATTACCTCTGTATAGGGCTCCCATTTTATGAACATGGTGCCTGTTATCACAACCTAAACAAAAATTATGCCTGTGCTCCCTAATTATAATAGGAGTTAATCTTTACTCAGAAAAATTCTGTAACAATATCAATGGGTTAAAGACTTATTTTATCTCATTTCTCTCCTGCACCTCTTTGTAATGCCTAGAAAAAAAACAAACCAGAAACTTTTCCTGCTCCCACCCTAAGTGAAGAGTTAAGATCTACTTTTATGACACAAAAAGTCTTTTTAAAAATGCTCATTTTTTAAAACTGCTGGAACCAGATTTTTTGTAGTACAAGGGAAAATTTATCTTGGTGGGACCTAACCTGACAAACAAGAGCAAGCAATCAAAAATTACCCAGGAAAAAATACCATTAAAGAGAAGTGACACCACTCAGCAACAAGCTCCCTCTCCCCTCTGCAATTTGCATAGCTGGCTCTCATGTTTGCTGGTTATGAAATACTCTTCCAGTAGAACTACAACTTTAGAAAAATTTGGACAAGTGAGAATGGAGTTATTTTAATCTAGAACAATATCACCCAAAGATACAGATGAATACAAACACTGTTTGTACCAAAAAAACATCAGAGAAACACGAATTTAAGCTGGATTTCCAGTCTATATATTGGCTTTCCTCTTCCTTGTTTTATAAAAATAGGGTATGACATTTCAGCTTCAATTGCATGTTTAAGTCATTTATTCATTGAACATTCCATTCTTGAAATATCTTTTAAAATGTTAGTTAAGATTCATCCTGCTCATAGAACGGGCTAAATTTCTTCTGAACTGCACTTGTAGACAATAATAAAGAGACTGATATGGGTAGAAGAAAGAAAATAATAAATAAATAATGATAATAGCAATAATAATAAAATCAAGGTCCACTCTTCCTATCTGACTCCTGATAAAACAAACACTAATGCCTTTTGGGTGATCACGAGATTTAACTCCAAAACAATATTTGCAGACTGAATTGTGATATAAACTGTGATTTAAAGTCTGTAACTTGCTATAAAAACTTCCAAGATAACATCTCCTTCGTAGACAGAGAAAGCCACAGCAAAAATAATACTGAAAAATCCCTATCAAGAGTATTGTATCAAAATTAATAGTTGTAACACTACCATAGTTCTCTTATCACCTGTTTAAGACAAGTGGATTCTGTCCTGCACTTGCACATTTGTGACACAGGTATAATTGTACCTGGGCAATCTCCATCTCAGCTCTGTGGTACTGCAGGAAAAGGAAAAAGCTGAGGATGGATTTTTTGCTGCCTCAGCAGTGAACCCTGTGGGGTGGGCAGGTCTGTTGGGAGACCCACATCCAAACACAGTCAGAAATCCAATAGCACCAAGGCTGCTTGGACATGGCTCTTGCCTCTGCTGCAAAGCAGATTTAATAAATGGGATTTATTTTAGAAAGTTTCACAACTCTTAAACAGTAGATGATACTTGCATTCCTGAAGGATTAAGTTCTACATTTCTTAATGCTAATTCAACTCTCTAAAACCAACCCAATAAAACCAGCAAAGATTTTACAAGTAACATGCACAACCTAAAAATTCCACCCTCAAAACTGCCTTTTTGGTACACTTTTAAGCTCTTAAGATGCTCTATTTATTGAAGAGATGCCAGGAAGCCTGCAGAGGGAACAAATGCTTCTTTGGCAAAAGGAAAACATTTTAATGCCTCCTGCCTTCAAAGTACGCACACCTCACCACAACATATGCTAATACCCTACCAAATAAGTCTCTTTATCTTGCCATTTTTATAACAAACTGTTTCATTCATATCTATTTCAGCTTGTAACTACCTACTGCACAGAGTAGCACACTGTGCTAAATCAACAAGTAGTTTATACCTAAGAAATAGAAGGTAAAAAAAAAAAAAAAGCCCAACACATGATATTAAAAAAATATTATATATTCAAAAACAAGTCAAGAGGGGCTAATTTTCTATAAACCGTTTCAGTATAAAATCAAAATTTTAAGTCATGTAGGCAATTTGGGCCTTTTTCTCCAGCCTTTGTTCTATATTTAAAATGAACAAGATCTAACAAAGAAGGATTCCCACAAATGTGACAGTGAGTGGGAATTTGCACCAAATCTGCCATTCGTACATGAAAACAAGTGTTAGAGCCCTTCTGAGCAGATATCTCTGTATTATCCCTGTGCATGGAGATACACACCTGCCCCTGGATTTCCAGCCTTCTCCAAGGCACACACTCCACTGACACACTTGGACAAATCAGCCAAATGCTGAATCTAGAAAAAGGTATCAAGACCAGCTCTTTGCAGATCAATACTCTGCAACCGTAAAAATATAATAAATATAAATATTTACTATCATATTATTAGGGTGTTTTTTTTTTTCCAAGGGAAATTGCTACTTAAAAGTCATCTTCTTCCTGAAGAATTTAAAGAAACAAAAGGGGAACTGTTTTTAAAAAATATAAAATTCAAGCACTGAAACTAAAGAAAGCAATCCTCAAACAGGCTGGAGCAAGAGCCCTTAGTGTAGGCACCAGGACCAGCCTTCACTGAAACAGCATCTTCAGTCTCCAGACATATCCTGGTTACTCCAATTAAATCAGTGTGGCATTTAATGATGCTGGAAAGAAAGATCTGCTTTTAGCATGTGGATTTAAATACCACAGATAACTGTCAAAGTCGTGGCACACAACTGGGATAGATCTGCTGGGGGAAATATTAAGACGAGAGGGAGGAAATAAAGCTGAATTCTATGGAAAAGTCACTGGGATCCATCAAAGGTTTCTGTAGGTTTAGAGCTGTACACCTGATTCTGGCTGCAGAGGTGAAGAGGAAGGGGATGAGTAACTGAAAACTTATTTGCCATAAACTAAACCTTTTTTTTTTCCCCCGTTGGAGGAATGAAACTGCCCCAAATGATGCAATGGGTCAACCTGAAGACAGACACATTTGAAAAATACTGGAAATCCTGAAGTCAGAGCTTGTGAATGTGTTTGGTTTGTGTGCTGCCTTGGAGGAGAGAGAGAAGTTAATACTTTTAAAAGCTTGGTATTTACACCTCTGAAAAGTTCCCGCAGCTCATCCAAATTCGATAGGGCAGGACTCAAGTGCCTCAGAGTGTTCCTGACTGGGCACTTCTGCTGCTTTGGCACACGAGCACACACAGGGTATTCCAGTACCAATGGATATGACATCTAATGCAGCTTTACACTGGCAGCACTCCTGAGTGGTTTGAAATGTTTATCAACTCAGTAGGTCAAAAGTCTGCAGACACTGGGTGGAGCAGCAGTATGCCACAAAACTAACAGTTGTCCTCCTAGAAGGGAAAAAAAAAACAGGGGAGGGGGGGAACAGTTGTCAGTAAAGGTTAAAAAAGCTCCTGGCTCCATTCCACACAGACAATGTGCTGGTTTGTGAAATATGGGATCAGCCCATCTCCACCCTCCAGAAAAAGCAGGTTCATTTGCTCTCTCTGAGTGCAGGGAAACACTGCAGGGGTTCTCAAGACCTTCCTGGTTTCTCCTGCACTGGGTTTAAAGCAGCAGCGTGTGGTTTGTGTGTCTGGGCAGGGTGTGGCTCGGTGTCACAGCCAGCAGGTTTAACAGCTGACAGGAAAATAGCTGGGCAGCTTCAGCCCTGCTCATGTGGTTCTTAAATTACTGCTTGTAGGCACGAAATAACTGCAGTCCAGTGTCCTCCCTGGGCCCAGATCTCCAGAGAGGACGATGGACAGGCAGTGCTGTCACTCTGTGCCACGTCCCACGGCAGGGATGGCAGTGGGACAGCGTGACATGAGCCTCACAGTGACCCCCCTCCTGCCCCATCCTGGCAGGAACCTACAGATCTGTTTTGGAAATATAAAGACCTGTTTTCCACTAACCCAGAAATCACACTTCACCCATGGCATCTGTGCTTTTTCAGACACAGAAATCCAGTTCAGCACTTCACTGTCCTTTCCTGTAAGAGGACACAAGATGTGATACAGAAATCCAGCAGAAGTTACTGGCATGGATCTGGCATTTGCTAATCAGGATCCCTACCCTGTGTGTTTTCATGGTCACTTTAAGCTCTTTAGAACAGAAACCCTGTCCTTCACATCTTTCTAAAGCAGCTATCACACCTCCACAATTCCACATAATCTTACCATGACAAGAGCACGAGCTACAGAGATAAAGATGACAGGTTGCCCTGTTTAGATCTCATTTTCTGTGGATTTGCATCAAATGTCAGCTACTTAAGACTGTATTCATTAAGGCATTTTGCAGAACATACTACATTCTTGTCTGAGGGCAGGAATGATAAGTATTTTTTAAACAAGTGAAAACCATGCAGAAATGTGTATTTTCAATTATTTCATTTTAGAATGTTAATATAGTGTTCTTCCAAAACAGCCTTAAAGCATGATTTTATTGAGTTGTAACTTTAATAATGCCAAAGGATGTCTCCTGATACGTCTATCATCTCATAACTGAAAGTTCTACAATGAGCAGTGCTCAGCAATTAATTAGAAAATAGTCCAAACTCTCCCATTGTTGGATTATTTTGGATAATATACAGATTTGTATGTTTGGGTAATGACCAGCAAGTAGGTTCCATCATTCCTTAGAAAATAACACTGTTTAATGCTTGAAAGAAATTCTTTATAGCATGATTATAGCATCTTATGCCCCTATGAATATTATGACTGTAACATGGAAGCAATTTATTTCACTCCACATGAAATGCATTGAGTTTCCACACGTGACTGACGTGGCACAGAGTGGCAAGTTGAAGAACACAAGCTCTGCAATCAGATCTTTCTAGGAGAGATGGCTTCTCCAAAACAGCATTTATGGAGCCTTCTGGCTGCTGCCCAGATCTGGCACATCTAGGCTGCTTTTATTTCATACAGCTGAAGTGCTCACAAACCAGACACTTCTCGTGGCACAGAGTCCCAGCAAACCAGGCTGTGATACAGCTGTGTCAAACAGGTACCACCACCCCAAAGCAACAATTAGTCTGTTTGCTTAAAGATCTTCCTGTTGAAAAGCACTTTCTTGCTTTTATGGAAGCTAACTATCAAATCAATGGATTTCAGCAGGATAGGGGCTATGTGGTGTTCTTGTGCATTATATATACCAACAATCAGAAACATTCCTTTTTAAAGCCCCTTTCTTTCCTGCTCCACACCTTAAGGTGTATGCTTTGTAACTAATGGCTTGACTTCAATTCTCTAACAAGAACTAACATCACATTTGCTTGTTTAACTCCAAGTGACTTAGCTTTAAATCTTTATTACTTTTCAAATAGTAGAAGCTGAAACTTCTCTGATGATGCTTTTCCATTGCAGATTTATTGATATTATGGCTCATGGTAGGCTACAGTATCCCCTCAAACTAATAAGGACTAGGGAAATAATCACTGCAAAGCAATAACTGCTCAGCTTAGAGATATTTCCTATCTACAGCTCCATGAGGGCAATATTCCCTGAACCATATCTCAGTTCTGAGTCCCAGTGGTGGCATTCTCCTGAGGTCAGGGTTGGGCACCATTTCTGTCCCAAGGCACAGAAGTGCCAGACATGTTCTGCACTACCACAAACAGGTCAATCCCACCACATCAAAACCCTTCCCTGTCTTACACCAGGTGAACAGGCAAATGTAGAGACCCTTTCTAAGAGTTCAAGAGGAGTATTCTGGTTGTCTTGTGAATAAAATATTTCTCAACTTTTACATGCAATCACAGGCCAGGGGCTTTAGATCTGAAATGCTGCTAAGTTAAAAAAAAAAAATAAATCCTTAAGAATACTCTTTGTTCCATAAGGTGTTTTTCTTCCCAAATGAAACCCCGGTGTAATTTCCTGTATAATTACCCTTGATGCAATCCTGCCATTGGAGTTTCCCTCAAGGGGAAGAGCTTTGGGTAGACAATGGTAAACATAGGCTGGCTGCAGCGGTGGCAGTGTCCCAGGGGACAGTGCAGCAATTCCAAGAGGCTTTTGGGCAGTGAGATTGGAGTCAGAAAGTTCAAATCTGGAGCAGAAAAGAAACAAAAAAAATATTTGTAACAAAAGGATTGCATGATAAAGTCAGACACAACAAGCACAATCCATGAGCAGTCCAGGAAACAGCTGCCTCACATTCTTAGGGCCTTGTCAAAACAGCAACGAGGTAACACAAAATACCACAATTAGGGTGAAGCACACGGTGCTTTCCGTGTGCAAGTTCAAGAAGTTGAAGTTAAATGTACAAGTTTGGCATCTGTGGGAGTAAGATTAACTGGGCCAAAATATCCAGCTGAAAATATTACAGCATGAGCAAATAATAGAAAACAGTAACAGATCATAAAGGATTTTTTAGACACACAGATGGTCTAGAAAGGTGTTTAGTAACTAATACAACATTCTGAAAAGGACATCAGTAGTATTTTACTAAAATATTTCAACAACCCATCCAGCAGGATAGCTAAACTCACTACAAAGCCCAAACTCCACCATCAGCAAAAAGGGATCTGCAATATTTGGAATTACTTGAAATACAACCCAGCCCAGCGTAATTCTCACAGGTCCAACCACAGAGGCCACTCTAAAAAGATCAATATGTTCCTAATCTGTTAAATGTAGCCCCCACAGCTTACAAGATGCTGTAATTTTCACCAAATGGAACTCTAGGGTCATTTCTTGGGAAAGAGCCATCATTTTCCCAGGCTGGGCCATAAAGCCATAAAGCCATAGAGTGTTTTATAAATTAAACCCCACGTGCTAATCTCCATCTAGAAACTGAGAGACAGCCAAGGCAGGTGAATGAGTTTAGGTGCTGAATAATCAGGACAAGATGCAGTACCTGATAAATCAGTTTTAGGTATCACACTGGTTTCAGCTTTCAAACCCTGTAAGGTTTAACCCCAGACAAAATGTACCAAACAGCTCCACTGAGGTGACAAACAGGACATTTGCGTCAGAATGAAAAGGTCACACTCTGTAGCCAAGCAAAGACACAGGAAAAGGAGTCCAGTCACTTCTGTCACTTCCCCAGCAGCCACCAAGTATTTAACAGCACCCTTGAAACTGCAAATTTAGGCAGTGACAGATCAAATCTGCTGCTTTAATCATACAGTGCCACCTGCCTCCCCAGCACTCCATCACCCTACACCTGCCTGAACCAGGCACTTCTCCTGCCCCCCCAGAATGAGGGTGTTCCAGTGGTGATGCCCCCAGTCTTTAGGAAGGTCACTCAGAATAGGATGTATTTGTGTATGTGCAAATAGGCATAATCCTCACAGCCTTGTAAAAACCACTTAGAAACCATTTCCTAAACTGGTTTTGCAATACTCCCTTGCTATTTCCAACCCAAACTTCTCTGGCATCTTCAGGAACCACGTTCAGCTGGATCTCAAAAATCATTGTGTAAGTCACAACTGGGTGAGAAAATAAAGACCTCCTTGTACACATTTCCTGGCAAAGCAGTGGTTCAGCAGTGAGGATTTACTGCAGAGCTGAGGTACAAGTGACCCCTTCCCACAAACCCTCTAATCCTTCTGAGCTCTCCACCCTTCTGCTTTCTTATTGACCTTTAAAGCTGAGAATTCCCAAGACGGCATCAACAGGGGGGAGTCACAACACATCTAAATCTGACCAAATCTGCAGGTTCCCATCAGATATTGCTAACTCATGTGGTTGCAGGATGCAGACCCAGATGAGCCAAGGGCCACTTTAGAGCAGAGCCTGAACTGGGGCAGAACTAAAGCAGCTCAGCTGTCAGGCTGTGCTCGAATGGCCCAGGGCTGCTCACATTTCTTTTGCCTTATGTATAACAAGTCTGCCAGTTTAGGATTGTGCTGCCTGGCAAGGAGTTGCATTGTTGGCTGATGCATCTGATCTTGCCTCAGGAACTGTATTTCTCATCTCCTATTTCCATTAAAGAGTTTCTCCTGCAAAGAAAAAGCATCCTTCTTTATGCAGTCTTCAACTAAGAAACCATTTATAAGCACCACTTGATCTTAGAAATAGTTCTTTGGATCTTTGGTTTTTGATATTGGACATTTTTGTTCTAATACAGCATTTCAAACATAATTTGATTACATAAATCTTTTAAAATATAAATCCTTGCCCAACTCTTTGAAGGACTGTTTGAAACGTTCCTCCCACTGCCAGAAAAGCACTTTCACTATTTCTGTCATCTGAAGAATGCAGAAATTTCATACCTTTCAAAAACCTGTAGTAGGTGTTATAGAGGGTCCTCATGGCCAGTTCTTGCAAAGGCAGCACATGATCTGTTTCTGTCCCTATAGATTTCACCTCTGCTGGCAGGAACACAGTTAACTGGCCTGATGAAAAAGAGAGCAGTTTCACCTCTGAAACTTGAATTGGAGAACCACAACTAGAAGGACACAAGACATTTAGAAAGTGGTTAGAAAAAAAATAAATCATAAAAGTAACTTTATGGGGAAACCCAGATGACCAACCCACTGTTCTCCAGTGCAGCCCTCAAGGATTCCTTGCAGAGGGCAGGACATGTTGGGGTTGGACTGGGTGACCTTTAAAGGTCCCTTCCAGCCCAAACTATTCTATGTTTCTATGTTGAAACACATTTTTTATAGATTCCCACCTTCTGTGATGTGCTAGTCATCGGACATCTGGAGGAATTACTTATCAAACAACACAAAGCAATGAGAACACAATCCCCAGGGAGTGAACCAAATGCACTCTGTGCCCCTTACTTTGTGCTAATTTCTTTTAGCCTCTGAATTCCATTGTTATTAAACATTTAATGTAGTGGAGCCTTTCATACCCAAGTTTGTTTTCTGTGTCTTGGATCAAGCAGTTGACAATAGTCATGGATTTCTCATTTTTAATACACGAGGCAAACTCCAACCTCAAAAAATACATTTTAAGTGCCACTGGGTGCCACAGAGTCCCCTTGGAGGTGAAGGAAAAATAACAACAGTGGGAAGACATCCTAGTAAATCTACCAGCCTTGCCCTTCCCCAATCATATATGGAAAAGGAAGGTTATTTGGATCCAAGGAGAGAAAGTGAGCTTGTAGTAAAAATAATAACTCTTTACGTGATGCCTGTTGTGAGCGATCATACCAGAGAGACACGCAGAGGAAAATTCTACTCAGAGCTTGGGGAAGTCAACAGGGGAATTGGAATTGTTTATGACAACTGAAATTTGAAGCCAAGAGCAACTTGTTAGGGCCAGTCCTAACGAATGGAACAGAAACACAAATTTGTCAGCCTTCCCAGATATTGGACCTAAAACTGAGGTAACTGCTCTCGACCTTATCAGATGTGAAAGGAATCTCACGGTACTTCCCTGGCAACAAAGAGTCTCATCCCTCCTGATTAAAGGAGGAACAGCCCAGAGAAACAACCAAAAAAGAGCAGCATCAAACAGCAAGTCAATATGTCTCTTGTTAAATATTTAATACTTTCCCACAAACCATTAGTGGGATTAAAATATAATTGGGAATTCAGAGATCCACTATCCCAACAGTCCATTGCCCAGCAGTGCAGAGCCAGTGAGTTATCTCTCACAACAAATGAATCTGTAATGTTTTATTTTCAAGCTGGTTAACCCCTTACCACCCTCACAAGGGAACAAACCCATAAAGTCCCTGCAGTTTCTGCAGTTCAGAGCGGGGCCATTTGGTCTCCTTTATGTAAAGGGCGAGGCTGTTAATGCCAGACACAAAATCCAGGGAGGTTAAAAAGTGGAGCGGAGAATGGATTAAACAGCTGGGAAAAAAAAGGAGTTGCAGAAGAATCCTGAGGAATAAATAACTGGGGGATAAAAAGCTGTGACCACCTATTGGCTGCATTCTCCAAGACTGACAGATCCCTGACTGGGGCCTATGAAATCCAATCTGCAAAAAATAAGATCAAAATATATTTTGAGTGCTGAGATCATCACCTCTCATATAAAAGACTTTTTTCAGCCAGTCTGACTGCAGGATGCCCAGACAGAGATCCATTACTTCCACAATGCAATTTATATTCTATTTTCAGAAATCAAGCTTTATGTTAGTACCAGCAGCTTGTCAGATTTTATTCTCCAGTGGATGACCAGACAGAGCACTCAAGCCTGGATTGTGAGCTCTTGCCTGACCCATGAAAACCTCAGCCTGGTTACTAATGCTTTCTTGGAAAGAACACAGAAATTCTTCACATGACCATTATTACACAATTTTAAAGTCACTCAGCACATTATCAAATAAAACCTTTGGGTTTTTATTAACATATATAAGCGCTCTTCCTATGCTGAAAATTTTTCTTAAAAGTAATCTATGGTGTTTGAAGGTGGTTTCACAACAAAGACAAATATGTGTTTGGTGCACAAATACAAATATAACTTTTCTTACTAAAAATAACCTCTTTTTATTATTTCTTATTAAGGGGAAACCAATTTATTCCACAGAAGCACAACAAGAATTAATTTCATTGCAACACTTGCAACTTTTTTAGACTCTTCTATGCTAGATTTAAAATACTAGATTGTATAATTCTAGACTAGACTTATAATATCAGAGATACTGCAGTTGGCCTCACCAGCAGTGCACATGTAATGACAGAAAGAAAACTGGTAGTATCTTCACAAAAGGTCAGTGCAAAGATAAAATTATTTTGACTAAGTATAAAATGGTATCTTAAACATTAAAAAAAAATAAAATAAAAGACATGATTGTATGAAATCACCTGAAACAGGCAGGACAGTTGGACCAAACTTGTTGGAACATTTCCTGCACTGTCATTAGTGGTTTTGGTCACAATCAATACAGCTCTTACATTTAAGTTTAATTTAATGTCTGTCTTACAATTTACAATCAGTTCTGAAAGAACAAAGGCTAGAATTTATTTTTCCTGAAAAACAAAACTGGTACAAGCTCGAGAGTGCACCCACTTCAGAACTGTAATCCAACTGCAAGGATTTAAATATCACCAACCAGCTGACACGGGAATATTAGAAAAACCTGGAAATGCCAAGACTCAGCAGCTCCCATATTGCAGCAGAGTGCAGGGAGGGAATTTATATTTAATGCAAGATCTGCTGAGAGGGAGCATACCAGAAATTTATAATTAGAGGGTAATGGGGACAATCCTCTTCTGATCGGTTTTACACCAGTAAGGCTCCATTCATCAGTGGGGCTGCTCCTAATTTATGCCACTGTCAGGGCAGAAAGAATTAAGCCAGTGTCCTACACAGACCACTCTTTTCTTGCATCCTAACCACAAACATGAGACAGCCTGGGATATTTTTAAAATCCACATGTAAAAATAAACCTGTCAATCCATAACTCCTAAAAAAAGTTACTGTAGTTAGTAGGTACCGAGACCTACAAGAAGCTGATGCTGGGATGTAAAATGAGTGACATTCCAAGATGTGGCCCATAACTTACAGAAATGGGAGAACCAAACAGATGCTGCAACACACTAAAAAAATATTTTGTTCAGTCTTTACTTCTGGAAACTGTGGTTGGCTACACTTTTGGCCAACCTTTAAATTTAGCTGTAGGCCTCAGATTATCATTACAAATGACTTCAGAGTAACTGCCCTGACTGCTACAACTCAGTACTAAAATGCTGAAAATCAGCAATTAACATAAAATACTACAAAAATAAAACAGAACTGGGAGTTGCACTAATCCCCTCAAGGTAACATCAGTTCTGAATCAATCACAGACACACATAAAAATAGTCAGGTGTGTAATACAGGAGAATTTTTACAAGGAACAGGTACACAAGACATCTGAATTAATTCATACCTACCCACTGCAACCAATGACTTTATTATACAGATAGGATGGGAGGCCTTTCAGGTGAATATTGTTATCCACATAAACATACTGAAGCTCTCGAGAACGACCTAAATCTGGATTTAGAAAACAAGAAAAGTCAAGGGGAGAAGGGATGACACAGTAACAATCATAAGCAAAGCAGTTCTCTTTAATTATAAATAAGCTAATCAGACTCAATGTAAGCAAACATAAATTAGTACTCCTCAGTAGTAAAATTTCAGCCAATGGTTTTATTATGGATGAGCTGAAAAGCTGTTTAGAGGAAAGCATTTAAAATCACTAAAACAAAACAAAGCCCCCTTTCAGGAGCCCTGAAAATCCCATTATAAATAATTAAATTTTAACATCGACAAACTCTGAAGTCAGTTTGAAGCAGCAAAGGGACAATTGATTTCAAACCCTCAGTGCATACTTCAAGTTCACAAGGTCAAACCTGCTTTCATTAAGTGGCCTCATGGCACTGGAATCACAGCTTCCCTATCTTTGGGAGAGTGGTAAAGATGGGAACAGGGATGTGTCTGTCCCACTCTCGCTTCCCCAAGAGGACCCTCGCTTGGGTTCATCAGCCTTAACCAAGCACCACTGCAAACACCCAGAAACAAACCTGTGTGATGCAGTAAATTAAAGAACACAAGAAAACAGAAAGCATTAAACTGCTGAATGTTCTACATCCAAAGCTGTGGTGCAATAAGGGATCAATATTTCTGAAGGTGTGCTGCCTGCATTACTGCTGCTAAAATATTCATGGCTGGCAGGCAAAAGGAGCAAGAACAGCATGATTAAGTAGTGCCTTCACAGACCAGAAATCTATTAACATACCTCGAGACAGGACTATATAGGTATGGAATTAGGTTATTTTGTTTAGAAAATTACATTTAGGTTTCTTGGAAGGATTCTGAGAAATAGTAACTTTGCTTGTCAACAGAACTAGTCAGTGGTAAAACCACCTGCTATTAAAAGACGTGACAAACATAGTATATGAGGTGTTTAAAAAGATACCAAACTGAACTAAAAAGAATAGACTAAAAGAGTTTGGGACTGATGTGTGGGATCATCTGGGCAGCCCATCTCATCTGTAGCTCCTATGCCCTTCCAGACAGTGGCTCAGGGAGAGACATCTGTGTTTAATGCAAAGCACAAACCACTGAGCAGTGTTTAAAGCCTCTGCCCGGGAGGAGAGAGCTGAGACCAGCCAAACTGCATCAGGGAAAAAATACAAATAAAAAATCTCTATACAAATAAAGAACTTCCATGAGTACCTTAGGGAAACAACTTCTGTGAGTACCTTAGAGAAACTAAGATAAACAAGCATTTGGCTGAATCAGCCAAGACAGTACTAATACTGACTGGCTTCCCATCTTTATCAACCGTCAGGTCCCTCAGCTGGCAGAAGGATAAGGGTGACCAGAGGGGTGGGCACAGCTTCTGCCCCCTTTGGAATTGTGGGCAAGAACAGAACAAAAATTAAAACAATTTGCATGATATTTCTACTCAGAAATTCCATTTGGAACAACCATCTCTTCTAATTCCCTACTATGACAACAGGTAATACAAGCCCTTTATTACGGAATACTTTTGTTGTACACAAGATCTCTGGACACCACTCAGTGCAGATATTTTGAGTGATCCCTCCCCAAATGTGTGGCCATCCTAAAATACACTGAATGTCTTCAGCTGTCACCCACTTGAGTGGCAGCTGTGAGCACCAGAAACCTTAAAAGCTCACGCTGAGGAGTGACACATTATCAAAGCTTTGATACCAACAGAAACGAATAGATTCCTTTTCTGAAATAAAAGCAGAGAATAAATAGGTTTTGGGGGGTTTTTTTGACTTTGAACACAGGCCCTTGCCCTGCAACAGTCTGTGGAGGTTTCAGGGACCATAATTTGGGCTTTGTTTAAACCAGAGTCACTGGACATGAGGGGACACATTTGACCACGTGGTGCTTTGAGCCTGTCCCAAAGACTTTCTAGTTCACAGAAATATCTGCTGCCTCCTTCATCTGTCCTGCCCCAAGAAAGGAACACAAATCCCCCTGCTGACTGATGGGCACTGCTGAGAGATGCACCTCCAAAACATGGTTTATTTGGGCTCAGTAATGCAGGGCTGAAAATAGTAAATAGTAAAGTTCTGGGATATTTTTAGATGAAACAAAAAACCACTGTTATCCTACAATGAATAAAAATATTGCAACACCATAAAATACTGTAAGGTTGGTAAGGAATCAGCCAATAAAATTTACAGCAGGTAGCAGGTGGATGGGACACAAAATGCTCAGAGAATGCCCCTCATGCTGCAGAAGTCAATTAGCCTAAAAACAGCAGAAAACCACGGGTTGCTGGGGCAGCTTGAATGTGCTACAGTTTAACTTATTAATTTAGAGAATGGCAGAAAATTTTTAAAAGAGGCTCATCTTGCTGGTTCCTACACAGATGTATGCAAATGGGCTGAAAATCAGGCAAGTCAAAAAAAGCCCTAAAGCTGTTCTTTTCATATGCACTGAGAGGGGGGAGTGAGGCTGCATCTCATCTCTTCCCTCTGTCTTTATCTTAGGCTATGTTTAGATTCTAAGTTCTGAGTTGACTGCATTTCCTAGGTAATTAAAGCAAATTTTTGGATGTTAGACAAAATATCTCAGTAGGAAAAATTCAATTCCCAAAGCCAAATAGCCTGTAACTATAAATGTTCCTTTGATATAGTTTCTTTGCATTAAATAACCAAGCATCTTCTACACTCCAAAAGATTTTTTTCTCCCCCAGTTTCAAACACTATCCATAAAGTTTAAATTTAAATAAATCATCACTTTGAAAAGCTCTTTGTATCCCCTCCACATTAATTTTTATGTCTTATATCAGTCAACAAATATTGTCAAAAGTTCTCTAAAAACCACGCTTCTGAAGGACTTTGTGCCATGAGGAAGCTGCCCATCTCAGAAAAGGCTAAAGCTACAAAGAGGGTTTTCATGTGGCTTTTGCAAGCACTGTACTGTGTCTAAAACATTTCCACTTTCCTCCTTCCAGGCTCCCAGATCAAAGACCTTTCTCCCAGAAATGACCAAATGCCATGAGTCCTGAACAAACCCCAATTCTATTTTTTTTTTCTTTTTCTCCCTCTTTTTTTTTTCCCTTTTTTTTTTTTCTCTAACCTCAGGGCCCTGGCATATGCATTCCACATGGCTGAAGATGGAACAAAAGCTCTTGTGTGGCTGCACTGATGCTCTTTTAACCATACTGTGAAGGCAAGGACACAAAAGCACCATATACTGAGGTAGAATAAGACCTTTGTTTACTGTGCACTGATAATTACTGGACCCATTTTCTAAACAAAAAGTGCACATAAACCCTCAATAAAGTGATATAACACTGAATATCTGCTGTCATAACACCCCCCTGTACTGTCAGTACACTTGAGAATTTATGGCCTATTTTAATTCTAGTTGTACTTAATTACATAAATCATTTTTCTTTTTGCAATGTCATCAGATTCACATTTCTGCTTGCAGTGGAATTTGTTTTCAGGCACTGGAGCATCTCTCAATGCTAAAAAATTTTAAGTTAATTTTCTGTCAAAAGATAATTTATATTGTAAGCAGATGGATATAAAATGATCAGCAGATTTCCTGAGACCTTTTACTGGGGCAGCACGAAGTTACCATGACGATAATACAATTGTCCAGGATGCAGCTTCCAGTTCAACTTACACAGACCATTTGGGGGGATGTTTTTAAAAATTAGTTTATTAGGAAGGCTCACAAAGGCTCAGATCCACAGTGTCTCATTTCTTTGAATATAAACTGAAATATTCAAAGCTGAAAAATAATAATTTTCATAAAATACTGGCATATCCAGCAATTAAATGTATTCTGCAGAACAAATTACTAATTCACTATTGTTTACCCACTTGTTTGTTTATGTACCAGTTCTGAAAGTCAGAGAGTGGGGTCAGGTATTTTTACTGTATTTTGCAAAATTAATTAATTGTGTTACACTGTTTTTCTTAAGACACAAGTGGCTGCAAACTTAAAAGAATGCACAGAGCAAAAAAACCTCCCTAGTCCCTATCCAGTAGTGCTGTGCTACCACTGGAATAAATCTAATTTATCAGTCCAGGAACAGGAAAATGCAGATTTCCATCACCTTTAACAAGAGGTTCTACAAGGGACATACTCAGACAAGGAAAAATGGATTCCTTGGCATAAGTAGATGTCAACCAGCACGTGAAATAAATAAAGTAAATCTGGCCTTAAAAAGCATTAAGCAATTTGTTCCAAACATAATTCTTTTAACATGGACATGTCTAAAAAAAAAAAAAAGAGAAAGAACCCAACCATTCTGTCAGGAGATGAATAAATTATCTGCTTTTCAACACAGCTCCCTAATTGCAAAGGATTGTTGTGACAATACTCACTTGAATATCACTTGCAGATATTTCTGCAGTACCTTGGCACTGCTATTTAAGGTCCTTACTCAGCCATTAACTAATGAAGTGGAGTTGGAGGTAAGAACACACACACAAAACCCCCATTAGCCAACATGTGCAGCAAGCAGAAATAATGCCACAATTATGCCTTAACTTCAGCAACACTCCAAGAAAAATATTTTCCCATGCAACAGAAGATAGATTTAATCTTTTTGCTTTTCAATGCACTCTCTCTTCTACTTTATTTCAGCACATCTTGACCACTCTGAAGCCTTTCTGATTCTTCAGAGGAAGGATTAAACATTTACATTTATACTGTGCTGCTTTTCCTCTGAACTCTAGGATTTATGATTCAGTTTCATATCCACAGATAGCAAATTATCTCCAAATGTTCACCAGTGAGTCACTATTAAGAACTACTGAACAAGGTCAATTGACAGTCTTTGATGTTTCCCGTTATTTTAAAAGTTCCTTTCGAATGTTTTGAATTTGACTCTAAAAATAAAGAAAAAAGAAGGTGTGTCATTATATTAGAGATTTATTTCCTCCTTTTGAACTTAAAACAGTGCAGCAGATCTCTGGCTCATCCAGGTCACGGCTCACTCACAGATAAGCTACAAGTGCAAAAGTAGCAAAAACTTTTATCCTTTCATATTTCACATCTCATCTTGCTGAACAGCATCTTATTTTTGCAAAATTAAAAATATTCAACTTCCTGTCTCATGGAGGTAGAAATATTAGCTAAAATAGGGGAAATCACTTTGCTTGTTTTAATTAGTACTGTGGAATCTGGATGGTGCATCCTGGAACTCATTTTCTCATTTATACAATGACATATGCTGGGACATAACTAAAACACTGTGTCTGGAGACATTATTTGCACTTAGTTTCCAGTAATATAAACTAAGGTGATAGGAAAATCAGGAAGATCATAAAGTTCTTTAAAGACTAAAATTGCTAGTAGTGAAAAGATTAAGTTAAAGCTATACAATGTAATTAATTTGGAAATCATGATCTCATTTTTAGCCACCTCAATTTCCAGCTTCTTTCCAACATGATTATCATAACTTCATCTGCACATAATTAACATCAAACTCTGTATTCTAGAAAAACTATTATTGGTTACTCAAATGACAGGACAGAGCTGCATGTGTGTCTGTATTCCAGCAGAGAATTCCAGCATTCTGGCCCCTGGCAGAGCTGAGAAGTGACAAATCTAGGGAAGAGGACTTGCCTTTCCCAAGGGAAGACACAGGCACTGCCCAGAACAAACCCCACACACTGACTGCACCTCCTGGTCTTGACCTGCTTCCACAGTTCCAGACTTTGGAAGGGTTGAGAAAAAGGCCCAGGAGTTCTTCCCTGGGCTACTACTGTGGAAGTTTTGGTCGATGTCTGTACACAGCACAAACTAAAGCTGTGCTGGATTATGTGGTACTGATGTTCCTAATGCTGAAAAACAGTTTATAGGGAGTTACTGGGATTCCACAGCAAGTCTGAAACCCTCGCTGAAGGATCTTGGTTAAATCCCCAGATCCAGCAAACAGAAACAGATCATTACCCAAAGTGGTGGAACTCAGATTACACAGGACTATATTTAAGCATAGCATCATTTCAACTTTTTCCCCTCAGTTAGCTAAAAATAAAGCAAATTTGATAGCTGCCTTATTGTTTTAAAAAAAGACACGAAACCTTAACCTGCATTTCTTAAATGAACATATTTTCCAACAGCACGATCGGTGCGACAACTTCACAAACAGAGTTTGTGGGGGGACCACCAAAGACTCTCACTGGTTGGGGTTTTTTTTTCTTACTGGGGCTGGAAAGCTTGTTTTCTGCCTGCCCCCAGCCCAGCGAGGGGGTGACTCACCCAGGGGCAGGAATGCCAGGCGGTTTCCAGCCATGGAGAGCTCGTTGAGGCTGGGCAGCTGGCACAGGTGGCGGGGCACGTACCACAGGTGGTTCCTGTCTGCAGTCAGGTACTGCAGGGACAGGCACATGTGCAGCCTCTCAGGTAAAGTCATCAGCCTGTTCGTGGAGATGTCCAGGGTCTGCAGCTCCCTCAGGTCTCCAACCTCTGCAATCCAAACAGGCATTAACAATTATATATTTGCACAAAGAATATCTCGAATAAACTGAAAACAAAGTTCAGCAGTGAGCTGTGCTGCTTTTCTTTTTCTTATAGTACTGTTCTATCAATCCATGTTGAGAACTGATACTAATGATCTCCATCACTGACACTAATAATCTCCCTCATCTTCGTGTTTCAAACCCTTCTGATGAGGAACACTTCTCAGTTAGGCTGTATGTTCAAATATGACATCTTTCAGAGAGCATTCCTGAATTGTGGCAATTACCACCATCAAAAATATTACCCATCTTTCTAGTCCTAAATCAGAACTAGAAAAAAAACCCAAACCAAACCCCAAATACACAAAACATATTACAAAGCTTCCTAATCCTGAGGGTGTTGACCCCAAAGTCGTGCGAATTCAAGTGAAATTAGGGGGGTTTTTAAACACTGAGGATGCAATGAGGGATTGCTTAAGGTTCTCTTGCAATGAGAGTTACAAACACACACACAGCACTTCTTGCTCAGTGACAGTCTTTCTCCCCAGGAACAACACCTCTGTCTTCATAATACAGTTCAGAAGACCTATTTTAAATTAGAGATGAAATTTCTTGAAACCAGTTATAATGTCACAAAAGTTTTATTGTAGGAAGCTATTTCACTAAGTTCCAAGCTATAGTTGCAGTAATTACAGCTTCTGGAGATTTTGGGATTTATTATTTGAAGAATTTAAAAGGATATTTTCTGTTTTAAAGAGTATCCTGTAATTTTTTTAATGCAGGTAACAAATTACATTCTTAAAAGTCTGATGTAATCACACAAGCAGCCTCACTTGTGCAACAATGATTTTCCCTGTGCCTGGCCTGTGGAACCAGGATGCAGGACTGCCTGACAAATATATTTAAAATATATTAAGCAGACCTACAGGTTATCTGATTGCTTATTTAGTTATTCTTCTACAGTTACACTAAAAACTGGATAATTCTATAAATTATTTTCCGCAAACATGGGGAACAGTTTCCCTTTGTTTTTCAGTACTTCACAGCAAAGGAACCAACTCACCAAGTGCTCAGTGCCCCTAACCCTCCCTGCAGTTCTCAGCATCTTGCAGACCCAAATGTACTTTGCTCTCAGCTGAATGAAACCAGCTCTTGCATCTGAGAGCTGCTAAAACAAGATTCACTAGAATTTTCTACACTGAAAACACCAGACAATCTCCACAATCCACAATCTGTACAAGTTACAGCTCCATCACCCAGATTTTCTTACAAAGATATAAATAGGGTAATGCTGTTTAAGTTACAGCGAAACAGAACCTGTTGTGCCCTTGAGCTCTTTGCAGCAGGAACCAGAAAATTCACTGTTCCCCGAGCTCTGAGGTAGCACCTTGTGTACACTGCACCCAGAGAAGGAAACAAAACACCAGGTTAACTCCAAGCTGACTTTACACAATGGGAAAAAGAAGCTGACCTTGGGAAAAGCTGCTCTAAATGTTGCTTTCAAGACTGAAAGCGGGGAAAGGAAACAAAGAGAAGTTATAATTCAGTATTAGAGATTTTCACACAGTAATTAAACAAAATGTGTGTGCACGTTTAAAAGGAGTTTCTGCCCACTGCAAACAATCCCAGCATTAACTACAATACTTGACAACACAGTTTATGCATCCCTTTATAAATATTACTGACAGAAGCAGGTGCTGAAGACAGATGACCACATTCTTCAAACCTCTCAGTTTTTATGTCATCAGGAATAATAAGCTTAAAAAGTTGTGGGGTTTTTTTAAACAAGATTGAAAATAAATGACAAAAGCAAAATAAGGGCTACTAAATAGCACAAAACTACCGTGCAATGAACTGCAGTAGATCTCATTTTGTAAGAGTTTTATATTCATCACAAAGCCATATGCTTGAAAACAGTGACAGGAAAAGAGCCACCTACATTCAGCCAAACCACTGACCACATGCAGTCAATAATAGGCCCAGCTATTTTCATGTACTAACCTTTTTCTCTGCCACTAAAAACAGTTCTCTAGTTCACTTTAGGTCCAAAATCCCATAAATGTTACGGTTGGCAAAGCTGGCAGAGTTTCAAAGGCATTGCTAGAATGATATGTTTCAAATCTAAGAGGAAATAAAAGTATTCTCACTTTATCCTTCATCCAAAAAACACATACTTGCCCAAAACTTCATCCTCTCTACCTTAATCTTCCAATGCATACCAGATGTAAACATCCACTTTCAACATATAGTGCCACATGTTGCCCCGACCCACAGTGAAGTTAAAGAGTAAACCAAACAACACAAAGTGCCATCATATTAAAAATATAACCCTCACATTAAAGCAATAACCCCCAGACTCTCCACTCTAGTGCTCAAAGCTCATTTGGAAGAACATGCTCAGACACTTACTAATGACACTAAATTGGTTTCCATCTCATGAAAGCAAAGGAAAACAATAAAGAGGAATAACACAAAATATAAACAGTCCATTAATAAGGTTTTTCAAGCTTTTAGTTACTAAATACTGTTATCCTTGCTTTAAAAGCCTTGCAACATAAATACTGGAGGGAGCCTTGGCTAATAAACACAGTGAAAGACTTGCAAATCCCTCTCTTGCTGTCACCTCATCAAGCACAAAGATACACAAGAGGTGAACTTCGGAAATTTCCAGCAGATCCAGAAAGGAAAATGGAAAAAGAGCTGATGAGGGGACTTGCAGAGATTCCCCCACACCCCCAAGGATAAGAAAGGGACAAAAATTACACATCACCATTAAACCCCACCGAGAAGCTCCAACTGCATTTAAATGAAATTCATAAAAGTGTAATTTAAAATTTACATCAGCTCCAGGATCACCACCATCCCAACCAGCCCAGCAGAGCACTGAGCCCGTTCTGGTGTCAGAAGCCAGCAGAGGACCCTCAGTAGCTTTGCTGAGCCCCAGCCCCAGCTCTGTGGAGGCAGAGCCCCAACACGACGTTCCCGTGTGGGTTCATGGACCGGAGCGTTCCCCCCGTGTCCCTGGGCATGGATTGCTGCCATCACACGGAGCTGGGCAATTCCAGGGGCAATTCCATATGGCACCAATGTGTTCGTGGTGCACACACACAGGGCTGACAGGCTGTAAATCCACACCCAGCCTGACCTCACAGACACACGGAGCCGGTGCCCTCACATTGCCCCCTGAGGGAAGTCTGAGGGGCACAGAGATCCTGCAGGATCTACTCGAGAACTGCCAGCCCAGGAGGAATTCATTCCATCTTTTTCATCCCTGATAACGTGCAGATTCAGAAGTGATTTTTGGAGGCTCCAAAAAGCAGCCTTTGCATTTGTGTGAGAACTTTTCCCAACGACTTGGAAAAAGGGACAAGTGAACTGTCATCTCGTGCACTTGGGTTTTCAACAGAAAACTGCCCAATAGGTCTGTCCCTCCCAAAAAAAGAAACATCAGTAAAGAAACATCAGTATACCTTTTTTTTCTTTTTTTTTAACATAAAACCTGGAAAGAATTTCAGGAAATTTCCAAAATGACTGACCTTCTAACAAAACTGACTGTGTTTGTATAAACATACCTAGAATCAAGAAAAAAAAAATCTATTTCTCATTCGTGTGGTTTAAATGCCAGTTTTTAAAATTAATTCCCCTGGTTTTACGTGAAAGAAACAAAAAAACCCATCTGGAAATAAGCAGCCTATACAACATAGAATAATTGCCAAAGGCAATTCAAACTTCCTTAATCTTTCTGGGGGTACAGGCCTCACCAGCTGCATGACCCAAAAATAACTAACAGTTTTCTCTACATTTCAAGAGTAATCCCACCTTTCCCTGATGGGCCATAAACCAGAATTTCATCCAAAGATATATGAAACACATACACAGTTGGATCTGAGTGTATGGAAGGCATGGGTTTACTTTAAATCTGAGTCTTTATATCGCAGTAAAGTTAAAAAAAGGGGGACAGGAAAGGGCTACAGACCTACCTGCATGAGAATGCACCTCAAAGCAGGATATTAAGAGAAAGCAGAGAACCTACAAGGAATGGAAAAAGGGACTGATCAGCAAAGAGAGCTCTGGCACTTGGAGGTCAGGCTGCAGAAGTTAAATGCAAACTGCCAGGAGGCCAGGAAAATGGGAACTCACAGACAGACAAAAGGTTTCTCAACCAGAAATAAAAGAGCAAGAAATGAAGAACTGGTGTCAACAAGGGGTAGAAATTAGGAGGACAAACCAAATATTAAATTAGCTTTTTGCATAATTTTTTCCTGTAAGAATAATGCTGTGTATGAGGACAGAGACAGAATACCTCATGGGAACAAGGACAAAGCACTGCAAATTACCACATCCATTACTAAAATGAAATGAGGCTGCTTAAAAAAATTTCCATCCCAGAATACTGAAAAAAAAAAATGGGTTATATATCAAAACTGCAGACTCAGGCACGAGGATTCTCAATGAACAGGACATTTTCTGGGATAGCAGCCTAGGGCTGGAGAAGGAATGTAGAACCTGTGTTCAAAAAGCCCTGTTAATGTGAGCTCAGCTCTCCCCAGCATCTCATAACAACTGTTCTAAGGGGAAAGAGCAACCAGTGACTGGAAGGTAAACAGGGAGCAGAACGAAAACACAACCCAGATCTTTTCAAATGTAAATCATGTACTACTGGCTTATTGTCCTTTGATGAAATTTCTTGGTTACTGCTAACACACACGTATCACATCTCATGGCAAATTATTGGGATGCAGAAAATATTACTAGTGGTGGTGTTCCTCAAGGGAATACTTTGTTCACACCTTCCATTTTGCAGCTGGGTAAAAAACAATACTAAGTTTTGAGTTGCTGTTGCACAAGCATTTAAAGTAGTAACTAGAAAAAAATTGTCATACGGGAGGAAGAGCAAGAACTTTTAGACTTAAGTGGTAGAAATGGAAAGAAAAAAAGAACACAAAATCAGCTTGATAAGAAGGGGCTGCAAGTCAGGGCTCTGCTTGAAACAGTGAAGAAAGAGAG